TTCTTGCCTCATCGTAAGCCTTCTTTTGTTCCGCAGATGTTTTCCTCTTTTGTTTTTTATCCACAATCTCTATCTTTCTGTCGTTGCTCAGCTCGGCTAATGTCGGTCTCTTCCACATCATGAGTAGACACGCCCCTTACTACTGACTGGCTACAAGTTTGTTTTGGTACTCTGCCCGACTTAGTTTTCTAAAGCGTTTTTGAAAAAATACATACCCCACCTTTAACTTGTATTTTGTCAGTTTGATCTTAAAGGGATAGTTCACCCACAAATTAAAATTATGTCATTAATTACTCACCCTCATGTCGTTTCAAACCCGTAAGACCTTCGTTCATCTTCGGAACACAAATTAAGATATTTTTGATGAAATCTGAGAGCTGTCTGATCCTCCCATAGACAGCAATACAACTGAAATGTTCCCAAGTCCAGACATGTAGCAAGAAGATCGGTAAAATAATCCATGTGCGGTATCAGTATCAGCTGGACATAAACAAAGTATGCTGTTCTGTGTCAGCTGCGTCACGCCGGATCTGTTTCCTACGTTGTTATGATTTGATCTGAACGAACACAGCGTATCGTGTGACGCAGTTGACACAGAACAGCATACGCTGTTTACGTCCATCGGATATTCTCCAAAATGACGCTACAGGGTGATGCGGGGGAGACCAATTGTTGAATAAAGTCGTTTTTTTTTCTTTTCTTTTGCGCACAAAAAGTATTAAGTAAACTTAACAGAAACGTATGTGATTGGTTATAATGCGTAACACTGTAAAAATGCATAAAAAGAATCATGATGCAACATTGAGCAGACTAAATTTAATGCTGCAGTCAACACTTTTCATTTCATTGTCATTTTATTAGCGACAGTCGTAATTGATTCAGTTTAACTTTGCAGAGGCATTTTTGTCTACGTGTGTTGCCATAGTTTCTGCAAGCGGTAACCGAGGATAGTGCGGATCATCAGAGTTGCGTATTATACGCGACTTTGGGCTTCTTTTTTTGTAAAGTTGCGT